AAGAGTGAAGAAGCGCATGAAGAACATTAGAGGGCAATACCATAATCACATAAATATAGACAACAGTAGTTTTCAATGCAATTGAACATCAAATATCCCTTTGTGAGGATAAAGGCCTAAACTATAACTTTTAAAAGTACTCCGTTCTGTTTCACTGTGAAATTATGACCTTCCAGATGTTAACAGAGGAAGACAAAAATGTACAAGGACACATCCACTTTCTCCCTGCTACTGAAAAATTTAAGCAGCAATTTAGGCCTGTCCTCAACCGATTAAAAACACAGTCATCCTTCTGTTCAGTTGAAAAAGATAAAACACAAAATAAACAAACGAGTATGGAAAAATAAGGCTGGAGTTATCCATCATAAAATAAAGTCCACAAAGCTTAGACCAGGGGAGGGAAAGAATATAACATCAAACTCCTTACGTCCTCCACTTGCAAAGGCGGCAAAACAGAGACTCCACAATAACTCCCTTACTTGCGCCCCCCTCAGGCCTCTAGATCCTGTGGAATGCTCTTTCCTTGCTTATACACCAAAATTAAAGCCTCTCCACATTAAATTATAGTACAGCGATGTCTGATCAATCTCCAGAAAAATCACAGACTGTAATTCACACCTCCAAACCTTAAAATCTAGATGCAGAGACAGCAAGGCCCCCAGGGAATGCATGATGAAAATGCCCATTGCTTTTCCAGCAATAGCACCCACTGAACACAGCATCTCAGTAATGACTCTCTGAATGAGACTTAGCTCTTCCACTGACTAGCATGCTAAGGGCCTGCTGATCAAAAAGGTTTCATGCATATTTTTAATCTCTCAGTTTAAATAATTTAAGAGATTAGTTCATTACTTCAGAAGTCCCAATCTGACCGTTACAACTGCTGACCTTTCTCACCATTCATATCATCCATAGAAATCCAGTAACAAACCAAGAAAACAGCTAAAACCCTCCCAACCTGTTTGTGTAACAAGCATACCATAATAAGCAAACCTAAGTCTAAACCAAAGACTGGCAGTTCCCACCGGTGACACATAAAACAAGCGTTTCATTATTGCTATAATGAAACTCCAGGGAGTGTGGCTAACAAGACGTGAAAGTGCTCAGCTGCACCTCACACCTTGTAATTCTCCAAAGGTGCGATTACCACTTCTCTCCTGGGTATTATTGTCGGCTTCCAATTATAACGCCCCTTTGGGAATTAAAGAAATAGACCGTAAGTTACGTAAGCATGTGCTATACATCTCCTACTGCACAGAAATGTACACTTTGAATTGCAGATGTAGCAAAACACCAATTTAAAAAGAGTAATAGCAGAAAATGAATTCAAGCACACAGAACCACAAACCTTAAACATCAAGAAAAATTAACACAAGATACAGCACACTCAATCACTTGGAGACTTAGAGAGTCACCTAGGCTTGTCTACACAGTAATCATTATGTTTCACTGCAAGTTAATGAACTCAGCAGAGAAAATTTGGTGGGGTTATTGTGCTTGTATTACATAAGGAATCAGCCTGGATTAAAGTGGTCCTTTCCGGTGTTATACATTTGCCTGTTAATTGCTTAAAAAGAAAAAAAGCTTTTAAAAACTGCATTTTTACCTAAAGAATACCCACAAAAGTGTTATCATTTTGAAATGAATTGTGTTTCAAAGCATAAATACATACCTCTTTAGATCCAGCAAACAGTGGAATGTCATGAAATGGGGAAATATATTTACCATTTGCGTTCTCTGAAAAACAAAACAAAAAAGTAGCATTACAATTCTAAAGATACACCATAAGATGTTGGTACTGCTTACTATTATGCATTACAGAAATGTATGCTAAGTCACAATCATGCATCAGTTAAACTTTTTCTGAAGTTTAATTCCAAGGACTAAAATATAACCTACAGGCAGAACAATGAATTTGATTGTTTGACAAATATTCATTACAATCAAAATTACTGCTTTAGTATTTAATACTACACTTCTGACTACCTGGCAATACAAGCTATGTGAAGATGAGAAGATCCTTTCATTCTATTTTCTCTTCCTTCCCACCAAGACACAACCATTGGAAAAGAAAAAAACACCAAGGGAACCTCATTTCCATGACTGATCAGTTAATTCAGCTGGGTTTCTAGCAATGCTGCCCTTGTGACTTTACTGTATTTCTAACATAGTGTTTCACGACCACAAAGAGAAAAATCTCCCAACACAGTAGGCCAAAGTCTGACCAAGATAGTAAGTGAGGGATGGGATAATTGCTCAAGCCCTTGGCATGAAACACCATGCCTTGAAATGAGCAGAACATGACATTAACTTAGTGGGGGCCCAATCTGCACCTCAGCCCTGCACCCAGTGTAGAAAGGCACACAATTCACTGGAGGGGATTCTTAAGCTTTTCAGACTACTCGGAAATATTTCACCATACTAAAAGCCCAGGTACTGCATCAAAACAGAAACATCAATAACAATATAAGGTGCTAACACAAATCCCAAGGAATTTCTCCTCTGCTAGCACCCCTATTCCCAGTAACGGGAAAAGCAGACAAGGGACTTCATTTAGCTTTGGACTGTACTTTGACCACCTCAGCAAAGAGGAATAAATGGCTGGTTTTGCAACTCCTGGAAGCCTCCCAGAGGCTCCTCCCAAACAAAACAAAATTTTAAAGGGAGGCTGCTTATTCCCACTAACTAAAGTGACTTTCTTTAGATGAGGTCCTGTGCTGGCAGCCACCTGGGGACTGAGCACAAGGGAGCTCTGCCAAGGTACTTCCAACAGGGTACATGATACCTCCGCTTCTCTCACACCAGCGGATGTCAGAATTAACTGATTGTAAGTCGATGGGCAAAAAATGTACAAAACCACTGCTAGAGAAGCAGCATACAAATAGACAACACTGTTACTAAGACACGTAATACAAAGACTGCACACCACCAGCTGTCGTTGGGTTTTGAGATACATCCTGGAGCGCTGCCCGTGCCCTGCCAGTGTCGCTTGCCGCTGCTGGCCCCACAGGCCCCATGTTTTGGATGTCAGCCTCCCCTCACCGTGATGTTTCTGGAGGGAGGGCTGGCTGGCCTGGTGGCAGGGGACAGACCGTGCTCCCACTGGGCTGTCACACCGCAGAGGTGAGGCAAGGCCGAGGCTGTCCTTGGGGTCCCAGAGCACCCCGTGGCCTTTGCGTCCAGACTGCCACGACACCGCACCGGGGCAGGGCTTCACCCCCGGCACCTCTTCACTCCGCAAGGGCCTTCGCGGCGCTGGGGAAGGGCATGGCTGTGCCGCGCACACCAGCCCCCAGCACTGACCAGGCCCAGCATCCCCTCCAAAAGCGGATCTGCCGGGAAATCCCTACGCTCTCCACACAAAACTGACCTCTTAGAAGCAGGGGGTAGGGAGGGCTCAGAGGCGACATCTTGG